TATGGGGGCCTTGTGTTGGCTCTTAACAGACTACTTTTACCCTCTGCGTTATTGAAAATCCACATCCCATAGAAGACAGCAGTAAGTACTGAGATCCCACATTGTCCTTTGCAACAGAACCACTGAGAAGCAGCAGTGGGCAAATCCAAAAGCAGGTCGTTCAGCTTCTTCCCATCAGCTCACTGCAGGGTATATTGTCAGTTTAATTTCTTCATTTAGTTCCTTCTGCTTCCCATAACACTGCTTTCAAATCACAACAGTATATGGGAGTAGGATATGCCAACTGGCTTTGCAATTTTTTGTACACACACAACTCCTGCCTTCAAACGAGATTAACCTTCAAGCAAAATTAAGATAACACGCATCACACAGTGTAGTGGAGGAGAAGCCACCAGCATACAGCACCTAGGAAATGGACAAATACAAGGTGTGCTTCGTTCTGGTATCTCATAGATTTGTATTAAAGTTTTCACTATGACAAAAGATTGCTTAAAAAAAAAACCCAAAGTATGGAGAGGCATGTAGGTAAGCTTTTACCAGGGAAGGAGGTTCATACAGAACTGGATTGCCTCCTGCCACTACTAAAGGATAAAAATGTGTCTTAAACTTCAGGGTAAAACACTGAAATCCCAGTGTATTTGAAGCATCAGTAGTGTTTCAGGAGTATGATGCCATATTCTCTGAGCACCTGTCCTGGTGAGGCTGACCTTCCTTTTCTTACTCAGAATTATACTTTTAATCTGATAATCATTTTCTGCTTGGTAAATACAAACTCTCTAATTTTTTTTAAGAAACAGACAATAACAAAACAAATCCTCATTACCAGGCAGGATGATTGCACACTTATTTTCATGGTTTCTCCAGTATCTTCCAGTCATTTCTCCCAGGGCAAATCTAGGCCAAGCTCTTACAAACTTTCCCCGTTGAACAGGGAAGCGCACATTGATTCTTGATTGCCATCTAGTGACCAAAGCTATTTCCACTTTACACCAAACCGGATTACAAATCTGGGGAATTTTGAAACCAAGAGCAAAAGGGAAAGGAAGCTTGCTTCTCACCCTTAACTTTGGGCTACCCTATCCATATCCCTTACGGACCCTCAGACCTCGGGGTTGCAGTGAGCGTAGGCCACCGGTGCCTTCATGCAGTCCTTTGTCTCTGCAAATGAACAGGTCCTTTGCTCTCTCTAGAGCTCAGCAATTTAGAAAGAGGTCATTCTGCAAAAATGAATAGCTTTGTTTTGTCTGCAGGGAGCTCACAGAGCTTGGGAACAGGGGCCACCTTGCTGGGTAGGGCAAGCACAGCACCTCCAGGACCAGGGAAACATTTGATGTAGCTGTAACAGCCATTTCCTCGCCTTGCGAGGTAGAAGGGGTCAGATTGTTTTCAGGTGTTGTCAAGATACTTCAGAGAGGTATTTTTATTTGGCTCATATTTTCTGGGGGCTCACAAGTGACTCTCTTCTTGCTGAGACGAACTCCTAGCAGCTAGCTCTCATATTTGCACATAGGGCACCAAAGCATGCCACAGGGATGTGCTCCAGTCCTTGGACATCGGCTTACTGGTCTCTTTATCCAGAGGCTGTTATCTTTAACGTAGCTGGGAGCCTGAAGTTACTAATTACAGAATGGTAACAGTGCCGAAGCCTGTGTAGCCTCGGAGCAATAGAGTGACCACGGAGTGCTGCTGCGCAGCCTGGGCGCAGGACGGACACCCTGGCGAGGCAGCGCCTGGTTCTCCTCCTCCCTCCAAGGCCCAGGTCTCCAGCCATGACGCAGTTTAGCTCATCCCAGTACCACCAGCAGCCACACGATGACACTACAGCATAGACTTCTGAAATAAGCCCTGCCGTGCTTTTTAGAGCAGAAATACCACTTCTTTAATAAGCTAGGCCTTCTCCCCATCCCCCACAAAAAAGGGTTGTAAGGATAAAGCTGGCCTCGTGCCCTAATATAAGTTTTGTGACACTTTTCAGACACAGACACTTTGGTTCCTGTCTCGCAGTACAAGATGCGACCCCATGGCTGTCCTGCGCTGTCAGGCTAAGCCGTGACAGAGCGTGGCATCAGGCCATAGCTGTCCTGCGATAACGTGGCTGGCGCAAGCACCGTCCCCGTACCTGCCTGTTCCTGCCCACTGTTGTCCTGTCTGGTAAATTAGGCTGTTTCTAGGTGCAAAGCATCTTCCTTTGCTTGGGCAGCAAAGCTTTCAAAGTTCCTTTTCAAAAGGGATGTAAATGTTTTCCTGCCTTTCTCTGTATAAAGATTTAGATTGCAGACTATAAGCTGCCTGTCCAGTTTGTCTCCAAATTTGTTTTACTCATTTACTGCGGACTCTCTTCAGACCATGTTATGTTTACCAGCCCTCTTCAAACAGACTTTGAAGAACAATGAAGAAAGAGTTCCTGGGAGGCCTGATAACTCCAGCTTTGCTGGAACCTGTACAGACCCCAAAATATACAACAGACTGAGACAGCTTATGCTTGTGTGGAGATCCATCGGGTCCATTGCTGTGATGTGTATCAAAGAATAATAAGAATACTAAACTATGTGAAAGTCTAATGACTGCAGAATAAAAGAGGATAAATCTATGCATTGAGTGATACAGCTTTAACAGACATGCTTTCACAGCCCTTTCCTCTGCCCCCAAACACAGAAAATTCTGTTTCATAGCACCATGTTCAATGTTAGACCTGCTTACCGGAATTTTAAAAGCTTAAAATAAACCTCAGTGAGAGCGCTGTCTTGGATTGTGTTTGAAAATTCCTTCTTAAATGTGGTCAGAGTACTCCTGCAAGCTTTCAAACGCAGTTCACTAGACACTGATCAGCAAAACATCTGGGACGGACAGGGAGTGAAGTTATGCACTCTTGGCCTTTGGGTAGCAGAGTTCCAGATTCAGATTAATGAGGTCTAAACACATGCAGGAAAAGCTGTTGATTGTTACAAACAGTCTCTATGCTTCAAAGCTTAAGGGAGCCTCAGCAGTCCCTAACACTTGTCAGGCCACATGACCAGCCGCTATCCTGCTCATGATGCTGGCACTCGCCCAGGGGTCACAAGGCTGGACGTGCCTACCCTTGGAACATCCATTGGTGCATTTCAGCTCAGCCCTGCCCATATAGATATGCCTACGATATGCATAAATGAGCCTGGGCCATTGCTGAATCACTGAGAGAGTTTATGAACTCAGCCTGACTTCGCATCCCATATGTGCTTGTGCATAAATGATGCAGATAACACGTTTAGATCTGAGAAGTAAGATGTTACTCAAATTATAGGTCAGCATATATATTTTAGTTCCAGCCATCAGCTTGTAAGATTGAACACCACTGAAGATGGATGAGAGGAAATGGCACATTGTAGTAAAACTTCTGTTGTTTTAGTGTTTATTGTGTAAGATGTCAGGCAGCAAAGGCTGCTTCACAAATGTTCACAGACATTAGCATAAAGCATCCACTCTTCATGTTTAACTTTTCCACCACTGGGCTATAGCAGTTTCCATATTCATATCAGATGATCACACTCAGTTATCCTTGGATGTGTCTGCAATCTCCTGAGACTAAGCTGTCTGTGCTAGCCCTAGGTTCAGTGGTTCACTGAAATGAAGGAGAGCAGGATTTAATGTTTTTTAATTTCACTGGGCCATGCCCTGAAAAACACTAAGGTCTCAGCTCTCAGTGAGGGCAGGGGGAATCGGGGGCACTCAACATGACAGGGAATTCTGAATTCCTTACTTCCTTGTCTCCCCCAGAACAAACTTTTAAATAAGGTGCTCTCCTTGCTGAAGCAGGTGGAAAAAGTACACTCCTAAGGCAAGCTTACACAGAAATATTTGAAATTACAACAGCTGTTGAGCCCCATCACTTTTACAGTTTTCTGGTGAAACCTTTTAAATGCCTCTCTTGATAAGGAATAAAAATCCGAGTCACTCTTTGTTCTTGATCCAGAGTAGCAAGTCACTTTTATTTGTCAATAAAGTTATCACACTTTCAGTGCCTTTTGCTAAAGTTGAGCTGAAGCTTCAATCTGAAGTTGTACCTCTATTTCCAGATTTAATCATGAGTGCTGTAGAGTCTTCTGTAAAACAAACAAAGCAGTTATGAGTGTTTTTAAAGTTTTAGTTTTACAGCCTTCCTATGCAATCACTCAGCTGAACAATATAAAAAAACCACAATGCAAGTCAAATAATCCATGTAATTACCATGTACTTACTTTTATTTCAAGACCAGAGTCCTGTAATTCAAAACTAGACAAACGCCCTATTTCTCACTTTGGTGCTTTCTCTCTTTAATTTACCAGGAGAGGAAAGTATTACAGGGAGAAGTAATACCTCATTTACTGAACCAAGTAGAGAAAGCACAGATTGAGAACAACTGCTTTCACTTAATTAATTGGACTGAGAGGAAATGATACTGCTTAAGAACTGAAAGCAGAGGGGAATGTTAGCAAAGAGAGAAGTGTTAAGATTTATAGCCTGGTTGGGACAGGGTGAGGAAAGAGACTTACTTGCTGCCTATGGATCAGTCCAAGCTCAACTGGAGGTATTGTCTGGCATAATTATATCAATGCTTGCACTGAATATGCAATTTTTACTATGGAGAAAAAATCATTTTACTTCTTGTCTCCTGAAACTATTCTTTACATCTCCATTCAGTGTTGGAGCCGACAGGCCTGGGACAGAACATCTGTTCTGTGAAATCTTTTGCGCTAATCCTTGCTTACAGTAGGGGAGGTATTGCACTGTTCATAACAGCATAATTTGAGAGGCACAATACGTGTTACTCTGAGTCAAGACAGTGAAAGCATACTGGCTCTGAAGCAACACTTGCTTAATGCAACCTCATGGGAAGCACTGTCTGTCAGAATCTAAAGAGCTTTGTGATACTCTGAGTATTAGCTTTTCTAGATGCACTTCCTCTGCAAAATATCCTATTGCTGCTATTAACCCAATGTAGAATAATCCTGAATGATTAATTCTATTCTGAAATTCTGCAGTACCTTTTTCTCAATGGCTTGATTTTTGTTTCATCCTAGCATTTTCAAAGATGTCAAACGTAGACACTTGATCTAGAAAAGTAACAGTCATATATCAGAGGATAATTTAACATTATATTCAACATGTAATCATATTCAGTAGGGAGGCAACTGGGCCCTTGCTGGGATGGGAAAATTATCTAAAGCTCAATCTCTGATGTAGCTGAGATATAATCATACTATTTGCTTAGCGGGAACAACATTGGCTTTCAGCAAGGGCAGTTGCTGAAGACTTCCAGGATTTGAGCTTAAAATGAATGGCTAGAGTTAACGGTTACTATTTTCCTAAAACTCAAGCAGACTATAGGTAATGGATCTCATTTGTGTAGATGTGAGCATAAATAGTCAACAGAATTAACAAATTCCACGCTTCACAGAGCAAGTATACCTGTGGCCAGCATTTCAGGAAGCTATAGAATCCAGAAATGGGCACTGGGACCCCAGGCAGTGTGGAGATAAGTAGTGACTCTGTAGGTGTGGCCCTTTGCGTGTAGGAGGCAGAGTCCAATGTGTCACTTCTCACCTCATGTTTCCGAAGGGTTGGAAGCGGCAGAAGAATGTTGCAATGGGCACAGGTCACCAGCATGTCAAAAGACTGGGTGTCTTTAAAAGCTTGAGGTGGTGTGCAAAGTCCACCTCTTGTGGGAGAGGGAAAGCCATTTTTTTTGTTCTTTGGGGGTTTAAGCAAGGTTTTGGAGGTCAATGGCTGGTGTCTGTCTTTCCCTTTGGGACGGACATCTTTCCATGCCATTGCATTCTCGGAGCAGGAAGAGGGAACCAGGGAGGAAGAAGACTGTGGTGGATCACTGCTGAGTTTTGAAGTTGACTGGCCAGCAAGAACTTTTGTCAGTTTATGGGCTGCACCGCATTTATTCTGTTAAAAGAGAGCACGCATAGTGAGGTGAAGATTGGCATTACACCCAACTGTGTGGCATGTTGTGATTTGTGACAGGTGTGAGTCACGGGAAGGGACAGTGGACACCACCTCACAGTGATGCTTCAGCTGAACATATTTTATCATGAAACTACATTTTTAAGAGCCAAGACATGCTGCCCTTTCTAACCTAATATATAGCTCTTCAGAGAAATAACCTGGCTGGAAATTAAGCACAAACCATTCTCTTGTTCAGTTTCAAATGTGCTTACCAGATGTTGGGAGTACTGGTCAGCTGGGAATGACTTATTGCACTTCTGACAAAGATTGCCACCAGCACCTTCAGAAGGAAAAAAAAATAATGGAAAGAAACACAGTACTGACACTGGTCATCTAGACAGGCTGCTCAGATCCACTTATGGTCACTGTTTCTAGAGAAACAGAATGCTGATTCCACTGGTCACGAAGGAATTACAGCTGTGATTACATTTTGCTTTTGGCACCACTTGAAACCAATCCACCATCCCTTCTGGCAAACTTCAGGATATTTGAAATCCCACTCCACACCTATGTTTTGTGGCTCAAGATGCTTCACTGCTACCCTGGCCTAGCTAATTCTGTTGCTAGGGGGTTTTGCTCTCTGTAGTTTATTTTGACAACCACTGCACCTACTGATGCCTGTTCTTTTCTGGAATCCTCGAAAGGATTCATGATTTTTTTTGTCTTGACATACTCTATCCAATACCTTAGGCCTAATAAAGTCACTCTCAACTTCAAGAAATCAAGGTATGCATCACTGGCTTTATATATGAAGTAGGAGGAAATTCTAAATCATACTTTCTGCTGTGTGACAAATAGAAAAAGGAAGAAGTTCAACTTACTTTCTGACAGAAGGAATTTCACTTCCAGGATATAAAGAGGCATAAAAGAACATGGCCAATGGGCTACCAGTCAGTGGAACCACTCTGGCTTTATGATAACCAGCATAATAGAAAGCAACACTTAGCCCTTTCACTGTGGTTGGTTAAACAACAGTCCCCTCCAGCCTGGACTGTAGGGAATTGTAGGGAAGGCAGGAGAGTTCTCACTGAGGTTTAACAGAGCTGACCCAGTCCATGACAATGAGGAATTCTGCTTACCAGTGGGGTAAATAAATGTTGCATTAGCAGATGCTTCACTGGTTTTAAAGTTCACATCCTTATGATAGGACAGACCACTGTTGGGACAAATATCTTTGTGTTTGTCCTGGTCTTTGTACATGATGTATTTGTTACATTCCCAACACCGCTCTGTTCGGCTGGCACAGGTGTTCAGGTGTTCCTGGAGCTTGTTGAAGGGCATTTCAAGCTCACAGATCTTGCATTTCATTGCTCGTTTGCAGCATTCCTTGGTCTGCATGTGAATAGAGGAAATTATTGCAAATTTTCTATCAATACTAAAAGATGGCATTGGGCGAGAGCAATGAGTGACTGTTTAAGAATGCCCTCCTTAAGGGGTATGTACACAACCAAATGCAGACTTAGCTGTATTAGGAGTTAGCCTATCTAGGCTATCTTTAATTTAGGATGATTTCGGCAATGTAAGGCAAAATGGGAATCAATAGCAGTGAAGATGTTCTGTGTCACTACAGGTTAGCAACACAGCAGAAGCCCACCTAGAAAATTCCAATACTTCAGCTACCACCACCAGGAGAAGCCTGCTGTGTCTTCACTGCTTTGGTTCCTTGAAATGGTTAGACTACAGCTAGCACAGACAGGCTGCTCTCCTTGACTCTCACTTTGTTAAACCACTCCTTTGGAAAAGCGGGTAATATGAGTGTGGGGGCAGGACAGAAATGTCTTTGAGAAGCCCTCAAAGAACATCAGCTTGAGGTGCCAAGGAACAGACTGTCCCATCACAACTGGATGCGCAACCACCATGGGATATACTTATCTACAAGGGGGAGAAGGTGTGCCAAAACACTGCAACAGTTGAGAGGTTTAAGCTTCTTCATGATCCAGGACAGGAGTTGGGGATTTACATATTTTTGCTGTTGAACCCATTAGTGTGAGTCTTGGTGGCTGGTCAAAGGGGTCAGCCTAGAAGGTAAAAAGTACTGCACTCCATGCTTACCTCATGATGCTCCAACTGGTATTGCTGCATGCTTTGGTGACAAAGATTACATCTGACCTGCAAGCAAAACATACAGCAGTTCATTGGGAGCACAGGAGGATGGTTAGTGCTTTCATATGTTAATACAATTCAAGCTGCTGGGATGATCTTCCTGTCATTTTCATCCCAATCATCGACAAGCTGTTGGTGATTTTTTGTTTCTGTCAGGCCTGAGCTGTGTTGATGAGATTTTTGAGAAAACAGGTATCTGATGATTCTGCAGGAAGCTGTCATTCTGTGCAAGGATCCAGTTCTCAAAGCTGCTCACTAAGATACCACAGTGGAAGCTTTATTCCCTTAAGCTGCGTGTGCAGTAAGATCAAAAGGTGCTGTAACCAGGCCTGAAGGGTCATATCAGACCCTTACAGATTTTCCGGGCAAACAATTACAGAAGTTCAAATCCAGTTAATATAGAGCACAGTACCATGAACATACTACTTCAGGGCTGCCAGATGTTTTTGCCATTTGCAAGAAAATCCTGTAAAAAGTGTAGCATTCCTCACCTGCTTGTGTGCTTCTGTTTGATGGTCTTTCATATCCTTTTGGGCAACTGGTTCATCACATTCTGGACAGAGAGTGAGAAACCGCAAGCAGTGGGCCTCATGGAGGGAGAAATTGGCAGCAGACACATCTCGCTTACTACCGAGCATATAAATGGGAAAGAGAGAAGAGTTAATGAACTGGTGTGGTGGGTTGACCCTGGCCAGCAGCCAAGCACCCACAGAGCTGCTTACTCACCACCACCCCACCACACGCGCACAGTGGGATGGGAGAGAAATAGGCAAAACAGAAGTGAGAAAATTTGTAGGTTGAGATACAGACAGTTTAATACTTGAAGGAAAGTGGAGGGAATAAGTGAAGCAAATGACATCACTCACCACCTCCCACAGGCATACCTGTGCCCAACAAGTCTTTGAACGATAGCCACCTTGGAAGCAAAAAATAAAAACCTAACTCTGTTCTTCTTCTTCTAATGCAGTTTTTGTTCCTGAGCACGAGGTTATACAATATGGAATATGTCTTTGGCAGTTTTTATTCCTGAGCACAAGGTTATACAGTATGGAATATGTCTTTGGTCAGTTTGGGTCAGCTGTCCTGGCTGCGTCCCCTCCCAAACTCTCGCTATTTTTTTATATTCTACCACTTAATTGCAAATATAGCAACAGAAAGAAACATCAGCCAGCCATGGGATAAAACTGAGACAGCGGCTGCATTTGGCATGGTCCATGCACTGACTCCCCTGCCAGGTACTGCAAAATTACCCAGAGTAATATTATGTAAAAAGAAAACATGCAGCATAGGAGAGGGCTATGGATGAAACCTCTCCACAGCAAAGTAGCAAGAAAGCAGCAACCTGGAAATGTGAAAAAGTGTACAAAAGATTTTTCTTTACTACTTAATGGCTAGCCTAGCGTACACCCCTCCTGTTGTGTGGTTCTTCATCTTCTCCCCCAGTTACAGGAGCTTTTTTTCTTGATAACATCAAGAAAAATCCCAGAAAACTCTTGAAATACCCACACTTTGTAGGGGTGGAGAGGGAGGAAGATTTCTTACCAGTTTTTGCAGAACGTGCTCTCTTCTGTCATGATTTTTCTTTTTATTCTGCTGGAGAGCCTTTCTCCTAAGAGCAGAGAGGAAAAAAAATCGAAACTGAAAGCCTCTGTTGCAGTAACTCCACCCCAAACAGCTGCTTAGCCAAAAATTCTTTAAAGGAGAAACAGCAGCATTGCCAGACAGTTATTAGTTTTTAGTGCAAGTTCCACATACAGATTAGTTTGCTAGTCCGTAGAGGAAGCATGGGGTGTCAGTTTCCTTCTTTCCCAAATAAGTTTAATTTACAGCAGCTGGTTTATGCAACAGGCAGGGCTGCAGCCCGGAGCTGCCTGAAGCAGTCAGGGGCAGAGGTGTTCCTCTGCCCCACTGCAGCGGGGCTGGCCGGCCTGGCCGGCCTCTGCCCCCCAACACCTGGGCATGTCAGGCTGGACGGGGCTCTGAGCAACCCGATCTTTTCCAACCTAAACGATTCTGTGATTCTGTCTAGTGGGAGACATCCCTGCTCGCTGCAGGGGGGCTGGACTAGATGGCTGTTTAAGGTCCCTTCCACCCCAAACCATTCTATGATTCTGTGTCTGCGCTCCCCTGCCCACTGCAGACGCCTGCCGAGGAGCGCGAGGAGCTGAGCGGGCCCGTGGCTCCCTGAGCAGGGAGGCAGCAGGATGTGGCGGGCGGCCCCGCCACCACCTGCGCCCG